GGTCACTCAAATTCCTTGAGAGAGCCAGACTAAAATAATTCTTCAAGTAAAGTCTCTGACTCAGTGCTTTTAATTTAATTTCAAATTAAAAGCATTCTATTTTAACTTGAATGTATTCCTCACAATGGAGACTTGCCTTCTTGAGGTTTTCTTTTTTATTTCCCCCATGCACCGGCACACAGCTTTCCACTGGAGTAGTAGACAGAAACACTTGACAAGTGTTTGGAAGCTGATCTCAGGCACAGCAGGTGTCTCTGATGGCGGACAAACACTCGCTCAGAGTGTGCTGTTGTCTTTCGATTTGTAACAGATTTACCACTTACCTTGTCCTCTCACATCCCTTAGTGCCGCCCTTGTTCGCCTCAACCCTGAGATGCGTGTCTGAGTTGAGAACCCTCCTGCTGCGTCCCACAGATCGGTTTCTGGATACAATAATTCCCACTTCCCGTCTCCCCCGGCCCCCACTCCCCTGTGGCCCTGCGGGCTCTTTAGCATGCAGATGTGATTAGCCAATGTCACCGTGCGGCAGGGCTGATTCAGACCGTTCCTCTCTGCTGGAGTTGCTTAGACACTGCAATCCCGGGAAAATCAAATTATAGAGCCATTAATTTGTCTGGGTAATCCTGCCTGTCAGCTGCTCTTGAGAAGTAATCTCCCAGGACTACGTTCATCAAGTGTGTGATGCCAGCAGAAGTGAAGCATTATCTTATTAACAGAAGAGGACAGAGTGGCTTAGAGTTACAACAGGCCTGAATCGCCGGCCTTTACATTCTGGCTGAGTTGGCATGTACAGACCGTTAGCTATGGGACAATTTTGACACACACTCAACTTCTAGAACATCTTCATGTCCAGAGCAGAAATTTTAAATTGAGTAACTGTTATGTGTTGCTCTTTAAGCACAAATTTGACCACTTATAAAACACGCAAGTGTTGTAGGTAAACATTGCTGTCAGTAATCTCATGTTGGCAGAGCACAAACAACGAGCGAACCTGTTCATAAGAAGCCCATCTATATTCGAGACTTGTGCACATTAAGGAAACAAACTTCCTCGTCAGCAAACACTCACAAGGTGACCGTTAAATCTTTGCCAATTTCACTCATTTGAGCTGTTAAAAGGGCACAGAAAGGTGTTCACTGTATTCTGCTTCACTCGTGGATAATGGAAAACTTTTAAAAACATGACAAATTGAGTTAGCATTCACAGGAGGGACAAAAGAGGTAAAATTACATTTCTACTTGTTCATATCGACAAAAATGTACCTTATATTAAACGTGAAGATGATGAATAGATAATTTTAGGTGAAAAGTGTTGGTCCAGTTTACATCAATGAAGAAGACTTAATAAAACCTTGTGACAAATCTGCTCATTGTAAAAGAAAAGAACAAACAAACAAACAAAAAAAGGCAGCGTTGAGAACATTTACAAGTATTTTAAGTCCTAGAGTTGAGAAATGTGTAAAAAAATAAAATGAAATGCATGAAAATACAGAAGTCTTGCACAATATAACTAAGAATGCAGAAAGAAGATCCAGAACAGTGGCAATACAATGCAAAAACCATGCAGAATCATGTTTTAATGAGAATTTGCATTAATTTAGTTCAATTTAGTTCAACAGGGAGATGAAGAAGGTTGACTAAAGCTGTGTTTTAAACCAGTATTTTTTTTTAATAACAGTAAATTAGTACATTAAAATATATTTACCTTTCATTTTTAAAACTTAGGAGTTTTCCTGCATCTACACTGAATTCATATTTATCCTTTAAAATAAAAATCTTCCCTTGCAAAAATGGCAACGTGTATTTCTTCCAAGCGTCAAGACAGGATCGATGAAAAACGAAAGCACTAAAACCGTTTTTCCATTAAAGCAAGGGAGACTGCTCTCTTTATTCATATTAACAATGCCTTGTAATTTTACACTTACCAACTTCAATTGTTTGCTAACACAATTAGCCAATCAGCCAATCACAAGACAGGAATGTGTTCATTTTCAGCATGAAGAGTCGGTGAAGATGACTTGACTAAGTTGAAGCCCAGAATCAGAATCAAAACATCAGAGGATTTAAGTTACTTTAGCTTCCATATAAGAGAAGCTAATTGTTTGAATAAAATAAAAGATTTAGTGAGCAGCAGTAGACTGGTTCATGTCTGCAGTACATTGATTATCTGATGGCGGCTTTGAACAATGAGTTGCAAGATCCCAACATAACAGAGAACTTTTAGGATTTTGAAGGACAATAGATTCACATCTTAGATTTCCACCCCAAAAAATCTGTAGTAACTGCATAGTGCCGTCACGTCAATACGGCCGGAAATCCCAAAGGAACGTTTTCGACACTTTGATGAATTAAGTCATTTAGAAAGAGGTCAAATAAGATTTCCCGAACAAGGCGGCCAGTTTTGATTTGTCCGCACCCTGAGATGTCCCTTAAAAATGCATATTCTCTCGCCAGGCAATTAAAAATGAATATAAAAACACAAAATGAACTGATCCTGTAGTCCAATGGAAGTGCCTTGTGAAGTGAGCCTGTGTAATGTGAAAAAAGGGCGAGAAGGGGATAATTAAAGAGCGCTTCAGCCTGTCTGGTGTCTCTGAGCCTCTCTCATTAGCAGACATGAATAGAGCTGGAATCTGCACAGAAAGTATGATTTAAAATATAAATTTTCTACATGATTAGACATAAAACTGATGATAAAGCCAAAGTGTAACTAGGCGTCGATAATATTAGCCAAAATCACAATGAGAAGGAAAACGGGAGAGAATAGAGCAGGCTTGTGATTTCTTTCTCATTTCTGTGTTTTAAAGCCCGGGGGCCTCCTGCATAAAACACGCCATATTTTACGCACAAGTTGGCATGTGTGAAATTTTTTGTGCGCCGCACTTTTCAAAAATTTTTCATACGGCATGTTTTAGTGTGAAAACTGCGCGCTCATTTATTCTTGAGGCCGCAGATCTGTTTGTTCTCAGCTTCTTTTGTTCTTGTGTCCAAACTTATTGCCAAACATCACACCACTTCATAATGTTCCCTTTCACGTCGTTTCTCAGCATTTGGACTCGGCACAAAAGAGAGAACTCTGTAAAAACACGTGCTGACAACTTTTGACAGTGCTTTCAAAACAACCGTGTTTATTTAAAATTTCCGTTTTGCCAAGAGGAGTCTCGAAGCGAGTCTTTTGCCAAAACGAAGCCCCGGCAGAGGCAGTTTGGATGCCCTCCTCGTACGTAATCACCGGCGGCGTTTGTTTGCACGTCGGGTAAGGTGTTCGCGCGGGGGCAAGAGAGAATGAACGTAACGAGACATCATTATCACCAATCTGCCTCCTTTTGTGTGAAACCCGACTGCGCGGTCCTCACCAGAGAGTGTTTTCACCGCTTTAATGGAGAAATGAGTGTCTGTGTAGCAGACGGTTGCATAAAAAGAGCTCTTTGTGCACTGAGGACACAACCCAAACCTTTGCAAATGTCATCCTCCCTGTGACTAAGACTACCCCTGCTATTTGTGCTACAACAAATATCCCCCGGGTGCAAATGACTGACAACTCGAGAGTGATAATTTGTCACATTCTGTCATTATTTCTTTTATGGTGACTCGAGTATATTCAGAGGCATGCAGCAACACTGTCAGCAGGAACGGGTAATCCCACCTGACAGCTGCACAGAACCGAGGACCCGCGTGGCTTTATGCAAGGGAGAAGGTGGTAAACTTTCCACTCAAATGTTTTCTGTGCACGAGCAGAAAAGCTTCTCCAACTAATAGCACTTTGAGTATCTTCACTCAGGCACTTCGGTCAGATGCACCTTTGTATCCAAAAAAAAAAACTCACTATGACCTAAAAAGTGATATTACTTGTGATGCGTGTGAAGGAAAAACAACTTTTAAAGGCATAAACGTCAGGTCACCACAGTCGGCTCTGCGCTGAGCTGTTCAAGAACTTCGGCCATTGATCGCTTAAAGGCGGCATCTGCCACAATCGGCATCCTATCAAACAAGAGGCGAGAGGGGGGAGTGTGAGAGGGGCAATTAGCTGGTCCCAGGAGCACAGAGGGAATGACAGACAATCAACATGGAGGGAGGAGGACGAGCGGAGAGAAGAAACTCACGCCGCGTCGTATATAAAGAAGATGGAGGAAGGGGGCTGAGGGAGAGAGAAAAGATGGTCATTACCTAAATGGGTTGTTATGCCCCATCTATCTGTCCCATGCTGCCATTCACTGAAAAAAATAAGTCATTGGATGAACATAAAAAAATTATGGAAAGGATTTCCACCTGATTACTTTGCTTTATTTCAGCACCATGTACTTGTGTTACTCCTATTTAAAGCAAATGTGTTAGGTCAACCTAATTTATTAAGATTATTCCAATGTAAAGCAAATGTGTTGGCTCAACTTGTTACAATGGTGATTCAATGGGTGATTCTAAATCAAACATGTTGGCTCAACGTAATATATTGTGGTTATTCTTATATAAATTAAATGAGTTGGCAAAACATAATTCATTAAGGTTGTTCTAATTTAAACCAAATATGTTGGCTTAACCAGAATTATGGTAATGCAATGGATGATTGTAAATCAAATGAGTTGGCTCAACTCCATTCATTAAGGTTATTCAAATTCAAATGAAATGTGTTGGCTCAACATATGTTTTAAAGGTTCCTTTAACTCAGTTACTGTAGCGTGACCCAGTGTAATGCAATACAGCCCGCCCAACTAATCTGCAATGTTTAGGACCAAATCATTGATGTAACTTCATTAAGACGAATCTAGTTGAAACCACCTTATTTTACAGTGGTACCTTCACACTACCTGATTCAGTAGGTCCAACTCACTAAAAGCAAGTTAGCTCAACAAATATGCTTCATGCTAAAAGACAGCTAGTTAATCATGTGGAAATCCTTTCCATTATTTCATGACGTTAATTCAAAGACATATTTTCAAGCGTTAATCAAGCATTTTAAGATAGCACTAGGTGAAAGTGTAGGAAGAACACTCAACAATTAGAAAAGGTACAACACAATTGTATTTTCAGAATTGTTATACATCGTTTTTTTACACAGCACAAAACACAGCTGAGTTGGACATTGAAATAAAAAAACAACTACAAAAAGGTTACAGTTTCATTTCCCAGCCAATTCTTTACAACATAAAACATGTCAGTATAGTTGCTCAACTTAGAGAACTGTAACAATATAAATCTTTTCTACTGCAGACTTTAAACACTCATTTTCCATATGAAACTTTACTCAACTTAGCAGCGAGTTTCATATTGAGAACTTGTGCTTTCTTTGATAAGTTCTTTCCATCCAATTTCATTATTATTTCCTGTATTACTTCAAAGGTATGCTTGAGTTACTGAGCAAGTTGAGTGCTGAACGCACTAAACTTGAGGGTAGCTCAAGTTTAGTGCGTAGATTAGTCCCAGCAGCATCACTATTGCAGAAGATACACTGCCCAAGCTGTTCATAACTTCCACCTCCTCCAGGACAATCCCAACATCCAGATGTGCATCGGCAGCCTCTGCTCAAATGACGATTCCGAGGACAGTCTCGGCTTTGGCCATTTCATTCATCAACGTCCTAAGGGAGTTAGGGAAGGGTATTGGGGGGGGGGAGACAATTCACATGTAATTAAGTAAATAAATTAAGACTGACATTGATTGAGTCACTCATGGACCTTAGTTGTTGAAAGTATTTTAACAACTCTTAGGACCTCTATTGTAAACACAAAGAGAATTTAACATACCATGTACTCCCTCACCAGCTTCTCTGGATCTTCATTTAGGTACACACAGACATTTGAGGATGCACTCTCGTCTGACCTCAGCAGTGTCTTCCTAAATATGCAGATCAAAAAACAATGAGAACAATCTCAAAACTCCAGCAGTATAGGTTCACACACTTGAAAACATAGCTACATTCAAAGGAAGTCACAACAAAAGTGATCAGTGGCTTGCAGTCTATTTGAAAGATATTTAAAATTGTTAGTATCCCTTCATTATGCCATGACTAAAATGGAGTTTAACATTTTATTTAAACATCTAAACTGAAGCTGTTAGAGGTTTAAATAAAGACATGAATATATCACCAAAGAAATATGTGAAAAGTACAGAATGGTCAACACAGTCTATATCCTTCTACTTAAATGAATATGCAAAGCATTCCATGTCTTACAAGTACATACATGGACAGTCTATGTGTGGGCATGGATAACGTCGCATATGCCGGTGTTTAAGTGTAAAATGTTTTAACAGGTCATATCTACGAGACAGAGAGAGACTACACTCCTTACATTTCCACATCCCCACGCAAATAAAGACAAATAAAACAGACTGGCCAAATAAATGTTTAGCTGAACTCTAGCTCTATAAGCTCTCTAACACTACATTCAGTAACTTTAGATCTGGCAAAACTTACTATTAGCCACTGAAATCTATAACTTGATAGCCGATGACCCCTTGACCAGAACTTACGCAGGTGGATTACAGACAGGTGATGTTCTGAAAGAGATCAGATATATTTTCAGCCATTAAAATATGCAATTCATAGTGAACTGAGTTGTATCTTTTAGTACAAGTCCCTTGAATGCCTCATGAATATAACCACTGGACACATGCAAGCACGTATGTGCAGAACAATGGTGAATTGAACATGGTAGAAAGCAATAGTAACATAGGTCAAAATGAGCACAATCAACACAAAAAACATCAACATTTCAAAATTTTACCAATTTTACCAATGAACTTCAATATTGTTTCTGAGCTACAATTATTTGGGGACAACAAAGAAGAGTCCAAAAAACCCCAACATCTTTACAGCAGAGGAATATGTATTTTAAAGAAAAAAAAAATAGAAAGCTCAAGTCTGTAATAATGGATAATCCATTGAGAGTTTTAACCTGACAAAATATACTAGAAATCCATAACTAACAGGTATTTTAGGAACATTTAACAAAGCTCAGAAAGCAATGCTTTCTGCAGGTTTCACCGACTGAAATGTAGGACTTTTTACTACCATAATTAATTAAGAATCTCGATGATTATAGAAAGGTACCAAAGTGTGTGTATCTACATTTACCTCCATAGTAACATTAATGAAATAGAATTAAAATAGTTAGAAATAGACTGATGTTAGATCCGTGTGTTAAAAATCCACTAAACCTCCAGGGAGCTCAGGAGGAGCAAAACTGTGACATTTCTGGGGTCCATTTGTGTCTCTGGCAGCAGCTTTGTGACCCTTACACTACATATGGCTCTGCAGACTTTTTTCGCACAGAATGTACCTAACATGGTGCGGCGATAAATGTAAACAAAAAGCTATCTGCCTTAACCTAACCGACTTAATCTACAGAACATGAAATAATGTGACGCAAGTATGGAACAAGTAGAAAATGGTAGAGAAATTTTAAGTTACATATTTTTATATGGATTTAGATGAAGTTTGACTCTTTTCTTCAAATTAAGTGGATGCACGCCAGGAATCTCCCCTCTGCCCTTGAAAAAACCCAACAAGGTGCAAGCCAGTTATCTCGCGTGATTTTCCGTAATCTCTTGACCTGGATCCTCTTCAGCGGGAGATGAGTCTGACACAATAGCGCTTTGGAACTGACGTCACTGTGTTTTTTTTTATTAGATTAACTTTGACAAATATTGATATTGAATAAAATAATTAAAAAAAAAACGTATATATATATATATATATATATATATATATATATATATATATATATATATATATATATTATATATATATATATATATATATATCTTGGCACAGCCAAGATACTGCGCAGGACCCTCAAGCTCCCAGGCCTCTGGTAGAGGACCCGAGCTCAGAGGATAAGAACCACCCGCGGTGGGTATATATATGTTAATTAGATGTATTCAAGTTGAGATAACGTCATTCAATCACGTTAGTCCAGTTGAGAGAAAAAACCGATTGTCTCGCGTGTTCTCGCGTGATATCCCGTGATCTCACTCGTTGTCCTCAGCACAATATCAGTCTGACTATAATGAATCATGTTAGCTCAACATGATTCAATTTTATAAATGTGAAGTCGTGGAATATCTTGTTTATCCAACATGATTTTATCACGTTTTCGCTTCAAACCAAACATTATTGTGTGAAAGGTACATGATATTTTTTTGTTAATGTAATACGCCCCGACGTTCTTTTTTTTTGGCGGAAGATCTAGCTGACGTAATTGAATCACGTTATCTCACCTTGAATACATTTTATTCCATTTGCGAGAGAAAACCGATTGTCTCGCGTATTCTCGCGTGAACTTGCGTGATATCCCGTGATCTCACTCGTGGTCTTCAGCATAGGATCGGTCTGACTATAATGAATCATGTTCGCTCAACATGATTCAATTTTATAAACGTTGAAGTTGTGGAATATCTTGTTTATGCAACATGATTGTATCATGTTTTTGGCTCAAACATGGAATTATTTAGTTAACAGTACATGATATTCTTTTGTTAATGTGATAACCCCTGAGGTTCCTTTTTTACAGTGTTCCCCCTCGCCCACGCCAGAGGAGTTTTAATTGGCCCGGTACACAGTGTTTGCTCATGCACTCTGCAAGTTTGGAGAAGGGCTCTGTGGGGGAATGCGGTGAGCTCAGTCATGCTGGAAATATAGAAGACGGGAAGGAAGGAGTGGGTGGAGGAGGGTTTGGGGGCGCGTTGGCGTGCGCGCGCGTGCACAGGCTTTTGTTCTAGACGCCGCGTCTTGGAACTCACCTGAAACTCTCAGTGATGTCGACAATTTAATATCCAGCCGCGTGGATAATGAGCAGTGAGAGTTTTGGTGATTTCCTGTGAGAGGCACGTACAGAAGAATCAGCACTCTTCAGGACTTATTATGTTGCTGCTATCACTGCATTAAAAGTATCGGTCACTAGGCCTAAACTTTCTGCCATGATTAAACCTACACATAAGTACTGTGAAGTTAGCTGGCTTAGAGAGCGCTTTTGTTTGATTTTTTGATTCAATTTAAAGCAATAATCAAATAAGGTGCTTGAACTGAAACCCCTTTACAGTAAGGAAGTCGTTTTTTGTTTTTGCAACATTTTGACAAGTCTGATACCTGGTTCATGTTAATAAAATCTCTGCACATAGTTATCTATGTGCAGAGAGAACTATGTGCATAGATAGTTAACAAACATAAGTTACAAAAGAGACTCAAGTAACTTATGTCACATGAGTCTCTTTTAATTTGGCTCATTAGCCTGAATATCTCAGGGCCATTCCAGTTAATTATGTGCTGAAAACACTGAAGAGAAAACTGCTTTTTTGCCTGATTCATAAAGTTGGCTTCTTGCTTTGAATGTAAAATTTTGTGACTAGCATCTAAACTGCTCTGTGCATAAGTCAGTTGTGCACTTTGAGCACATTCGGCAGAGCAAGAATCCCGACGTGGTCAGACAGAAAGCGCCGGCACCAAAAATAGCCATTGTAAAGGTTAGACTTTTAAGGAAAAAGCAGATTTGTTGAATCAGGGGTTTCAAAGAATTGAGAGAGCTGGCTCCTCCTCAGAGAGCAAAAAGACAACTGTGTGAACCACTTTCTGCTGTGGCTGCAGTTGATTTAGCCTCCTGTAAGAAAAAAAAAAATCCTGGCGCTCAGAGGAACATCTTCATATTTGCCCCATGAAAACAATGGGCACGCCTTCACTATGCATTGAAGCTGGACTTGCATTATTAGACGGAGATTCTGCATCATTTGCACAAATCCCGAGAGGATTTTCTAACATGAAGTTATTGATCACGCTGAGTGGAGCAGAGGCAAGGAGATGGAGGTGTTTGTCCTGCCAAGATGCATGAAGTAACATTCTTACACTCTGAATGTTCCCCTCATGCACAGTGGAGCAGGTTGTAAATATTGGGAGTTTGCAAAAGGAGCAAATAGATGCCAACTTAAGTCCTGCCAGGAGTTATAAACTTCACCAACTTTCATGTTGCTGTCAAACTCATCACAAATCCATATTCAAATTCATCTGCAATGCACTGCATAATGTTTATTCAAATCTCTTAGCAGAAACAAAGATTATATTCAAGCCCTCGGTGAAAAAGATGGAGTTTAATCTCTAGGGCAGACATTAAAAAAAGAAGAAGAAAAAAAAGAAGCAGCTCAGGTCTTCTCTTTTCCTCTTTTGTTTGCTGTTTAATTTCCTCTACTAATATATCTTGACTGACACATTTGAAGTTTGTCACCAAAGGGAAAATCTTCTAGAGACAGTGGGCCTAACTTGTTAAATTAAAACAATAAAGTTTCTCAATTCAAGTCATACCACCATCATCTTTCTAAGTCTGGACTGGAATTACTTTCTACTTGCAACTTTTTTCTCTTTTTTTATTTAGCTAGAGTCATTTATTTATTAAGTTTCCTTCTCATGCTCTTTTCTCCTGATGTATTCTACCTCAGGGGGGAAATAACATTTCCCCCGATTTAAGTATTATTTTCAAATAATTTGCATTATTTATTTTTTACAAGTTCAAATATTGATATTATTTTTCGCTCTGATTCTTCTCCCTCTCTGCCATTCTCTCCCAAACACACAAACAGAGATATGAAAATTACGGCTATATGAACTGACGTGCGGTCCGAGTACCTCAGAGAAAAACATCTCTCACACACACACATACAGTAGATCAATAATAGATAAGCTCAGCTTTTCCAGTTGAAGAAAGGGAAAGAGGCGGTAAATTTATCATGAAGTAAAGTCACACAGCTCAAAGATGGGAGAAATAAGGATAGAAAACCAAGAATTCTCACTGAAGAGCGACGACTAAACAAAGTCTGAAGCTACAGATGTGCCGGATCGAACACGCTGTGCTAAAACATCTTGTGCCTCACGCCGCACTCCTCGGCTTATGTGTGGCGAAAACATATCTCATAAATACGGCAATGAAGCCTTGTTTCAAAACCAGCAGGCATTCATACAATATTCATCGCCGAAACAAATGTCTTGCATTCGCATGCTGCCATATTGTTATCTGTTTTTTTTTCCATGTGGCATTCAGCAAATTAAACGTTTTTGCTGTCTTTAGACCAGAGCCAGGACAAAAAAAAAAATCAGCTGGAGCAATCTTCTCTTTCAAATTAATCAGGTTTAAGCAACTTTTAAAAGGCATAAAGGTTGCAATATAATTTGATGTGTTTGAAGATTTTTCTGTTGAACACAGTTTTTGCCTTGGCAATGAATTCTGTACATGATTTGCATTATAGTCCATGTGAAAAGAAACTCTTTGCATATTTAAAGACTTTTTAGTTTTTGGTTTTTTTTTGTAAAGTCCAGCTGAGCTTTGAAATATGATAAGGACAAACTGAAAGGCTTTTTGAGATTACTCATTCATTTGTGTTTCTTTTCTCTTCAGTCTTTCAGATTCTTCTGTAGGAAAAAATAAATATATTAATATATCAGACCTGCAGTGTAGTGGAAATCCACAGCAGCAAATGCTCCTCTTTCAAGCTGCATTTTGCACAAATGTGGATGTTTTTATGAAGTTTTTCTTTTTTCTGTTTTGAAATTGCTTAAAATTCTGCCACCTACTGAAACCCTGCAGGTCCATCAGACTGAAGCGTCCTGTTTGTGGCTGAAGCTCCGTCTTCATTCCTCACATGTTTTCTATGTTTACAAAGAATATTTGATGCCATGTAGGCCTTCGGCGTTTCCTGTTTCTGTTGCACTAAAAGAAATATTTTTAGATTTTTCTGCTACTATGGTTGCACTTTTTTTCCCCCTTTCATTGACGACACATTAATACAGGGTGCCATTTTTTAAATTTGAGTGTTTCATAATTTTCAAACTGTCTTATTGGGATTTTATGCAGATGAACAAAAAGTGAAACAAAGTGGGAGGCAACAGCTCTCTTTTTTGAGCAAAAATACTTTTTTCAGCTTCTTTCTGTTTTTCTGGTCTTGTATCACAGCCTTCAGTCATCTCAGAAATGCATAGAGCATATTAAAACACCAAAGACTGGTCTGTCACATAAAATCCCAGTAAAATGTTTTGATTGTAAAATGACAAAATGTATGAAGTATGTATTAGTAATTAGTCATTTCTTCACAAACAAAAGCAGACTTCTCAAAAATAAAATCAATAAGCATACGTTTGTGCTCTGAAATATTTCACATAAGAGCGCCAGAACAGTGTCATCTTGTAAGTATGCACTCATAATAGAACATGAAAACAGAGAGGCGAGCTGGACTCATAAAAATAACCGCAAAACATCCGTCTGACAGCACACGCAGTCAGCAAGATCTAAAGTTTGCAGTTGACCACAGCGAGGCTCTCCCAGCCACTGATTGGCGGATTTCTGTTGATCCCAAATTGTGGTTGAAAAATTCG